TCGTCCAGGTAAGTCCCGGCCTTTGTACTTAGTAATTTTTGTGTTCCTTTCCTCTTCTAACAATTACTCGTCTTTGCAGGGGGCCTTCATGCTGATGGAGCAGCAGCGACGTCAGGAAGAGGAGCTTGCTCGCCTTCGGGAAGCTGAGAAGAAAGTCGCTTCTGCTGACGAGGCGCTTTCCCAGCTGGAGCGGCTTCGTACTGAGACTGACGCTTTGAAGGAAAAAGCTGATGCAGCCGAGAAAAAAGCCGCCGCTGCTGAAGACGAGGCGAAACACCTCAAGGTTCAGTTAGACGAAGAAGCGGCTGCCCGTCGGCTAGCAGAGGAAAGGGCTGTGAAGCTTGAGGCCGATGCGATTGCAGCTGCCGATAAAGCCATTGAGCTTTTTATGGCCGAGGGGTGGAAGGACGAGGCCCGAAGCGATTGGTCTTTCAATGTTGTGGCGGAGCGCTTTGAAGCGTGGTCTCAGGAGGAGGCTGGCCGAGCCCGCTTGAAGGAGGAGTTTGAAGTCTGGTACGACCTCGGCCAGAGGCGTATGCAGATGTTGGTTTACCGCCGCCTCCGCCGGCGTGTAAAGAACCTGAAGCCTAGGGGTATCGGCCTTCCCCGGATGATGAAAGACCCCGAGGAAGAGTTGAAGCTCCCGCTGTCTGAGAGGCAGCCCCCCATCCTGAGCTCGGATGAAGAGGACGAGCCCTGGACCGAGAGTGATGATTACCTCTTCCGGACCTCGACCAAGTCAAAAAATACTGAAGATGAGCAAGACGATGCGGACAGCGGAGCCGTCGGGGGTGGCCAAGGACAAGCTGTTTAGTATTTGTACTTAGCTTTCTTTTTTCTTTTGTAGTAGTCTCAATGGCCGAAGTGCCCTGATGTTTGTAACGGCCGAAGCGCCCCCTTTGTATTTTTTGAATCATCAATTAAAGGTAACTCTTTTCGTCCAAGTGTTTGTTCCTCGCTTTTCTCGTTATGTTTGGCGTTTGGTTTGTTGGTGTCGCGTCGTCTGAGTGACATTGCTTCGCAAGTTTTTATGTTGGCAAATTTGCCAATTTTGAGACGATGCGTTCCATCATTTCCTTTGTGTTGATGTGGGGGCACCCTCGCCTCACTGGTATGTGTGTGAGGACGTTGCGCGCGTTCCCTGCGTTTTATAATAGGGACGATGCGCCCCTTCGTCTGAACTGTTGTGTTTACAACATGTTTCAAAAATTTACCAAGTGTTGAAACTTTTCCTTGGCGCGGTGCTACGTCCCTTGCGTCTTAGGTAAGGCATGGCCCCAAAGATCTGAAATCTTTCTAAGTGCCAAGAGTTTTATCTCGTGACTTCCGTCCGCTGAGACGTAGCGGTCCTCCTTTCTTTGAAGACGATGCGCCTCGTCGTCCCTTGATGAATTCCATTTTTGCCTTTACATCTTTCCCGAGTCGAGTTTTTGGAACTTAATCCTGAAGTGTTGAGGACGTATCGCTTCGTCTCAAACTTGTCTTGATGGAGCTGTTTTGCTTCGGTTCGTCGCTTGGTTTTTGCTAATTGGAGACGATGCGGCCCATCGTCCAAGTAATGGACTGTGGTTTTGTATAACCGAAGCCGAAGCGATTCCCTTTAGTGAAGCTATGGTTGGGGCCGAAGCGTGCACTCCGGTTCCCTGTATAGTGAAAACCTGATATGTACTTAGCCAATTTTGAGGCTTGGTTTTTGTGGGGATTTTGTTTTATGCTCGAGGCCGGCGAGTGCACGGTCCGTCGGCTTCCCTCTTTTTTTTTTTTTTTTTTTTTAGGTGGCCGAAGGGTTACTGTCCCTTCGTCCGTGTGCGGTAGTTTGTCCGCTACGCTCTTCGCGTGAATTAGTGCGAGGGAGTAAATACGCCCTCGGCTTGGTGTCAGTGGCTTCCTTTTTTGGCCTTTCCACGTCTATCATCGACGAGGGACCGGACAAGGCATCGTCTTTTGACGGCCGCCCTTTGTGGTCCTGAGCGAAATTTTACTGACGGGTGGAGTTTTTGTAACCTCAGCCTTAATTCAGACCTGTCGTCCTGCGGTTTCCGCGCGGACGACGCGGTATGCTTCTCCGTTTGAAGACGTTGGACCATACACACAGGTCCTTCGTCCTGCATATCGCCGGCCGATTTGGGTGTTTCACCGCTTGTGCCGATACGATATTTATGTGCGTTGTTTATTGCAACGGCTTTGTAGGCGTGTTGTGGATCGCAACGGCCTTAGGTGCGTTGTTTATTGCAACGGCTTTGGGTGCGTCGTTTATTGCGACGGCTTTAGGTGCGTTGTTTATTGCAACGGCTTTGGGTGCGTCGTTTATTGCGACGGCTTTAGGTGCGTTGTTTATTGCAACGGCTTTTAGGTGCGTCGTTTATTGCGACGGCTTTAGGTCGCACCGGGCCCGGGTGATTGCACCGCTTAGGCCGATGCGGTCCTTGGGTTTCTTTTGCTCAAATCTTAGAAGATTGGATGAAACATGAATTTTATTCAATAAGTGGCGCTAGGCCGAGGGTGTTTCTGTCACGCCCCGGACCTCCCCGGACACGTCAACAACCCGCCGTACAATACGAATAGTCAACCGCAGTCCAACACATTCATATTATACAAGGCGTCATGAATATCATTCACACACAAGTCATCCATAAACAACATAATAAGTAATTCATAAAGCAGCGGAAAACATTGTTTAAAACAAAGGGCCACACAGGGCTATTCATGAGCACGCAAGCTCTATAATAAAATATCCATGAGCATGTTTATTAATGTTTAAAATCCGAATGGAGGAAGCACGAACCAAGTCTTCGCTCCTAGATGATCTCTCGAGCAACGAGCACAGGAAGCAAGCTCTAGCCTCAACCTGAAAAATGGTGGTGGGACGCCCCCGAAGGGGTCAGCACTCTATAGGGCTATAAAGTGCTGGTGTGGCAGGCATCTAATAGATATACAACAAGTATTTCAAACACAAGACCCTCAAATAGGGTGATAGTATATTATGATTGTAACCCTAAGTTACCCCGTTTAAAAATATACTTACTTTATATAAAAGTCAAGTAGCCGGCCCGTGGGCCCATGTTCATTTGGAAATCATCATTCCCAACCCCGTGACTATAAGCCACGACAACTCCTAGAGTCCAACCCTAGTACATGACATTGTATTCTAGAGCTCGGCTCTACCACATCACCATACAATTCATATACCTCGGGTCAATTTCCCTACCTTGCGTTCTAGAGCTCGACTCTATCACATCACCACGCAAGTCCTAGAGCTCGGCTCTAGCTATACAATACATAGACTCCAAGTCTACACCTTACATGCATTCTAGAGCTCGGCTCTATCACATCACCATGCATTAAGGTCCAATTCTCAAGCAACCCTATGCCTAGAATTGACATATCATTAAACTACCATGGGTCATCCTTAAAGACTCCCCATAACTTAACCTTAGTTCCATACTAAGTTATCATATACACTTGAACTACATTCAAGTACCTTTCATACAATCCAATCCCTAGGATCAATTTAATCAACAAGTTCCAATAATCACTAACTAGTATTCCAATACTATTAAGATTATTGTTATCGTACCATTATCCTCATTGTTTGTAATTCTCTACATATTTATAATTATGTAGCAGCAACTTAAGTATTCAATCTCAATACACAAATATTCATTTATGTATCCACATGATTCATACATGAGCAAAATGCCCATTTTCACAAAATAGTTCATTTATACTCATTTAATCTCATATTATTCATACTTTCTCAAATCATTCCAAATTCATTCTTTGGCAACTATATCAATATTTCATCAATATATAGTCATCATAATCCATGAAAAATCATGATTTAAGCATTTAGGTAATCTCATGCTTAACCTACAAGTTGTAAGCAATTAGATGTCAATCCTCACCTCAATTGAGCTTTAAACTTTCCCTTCTTGGTCCAATGGTCAAAGCTTTGGTCAAGGTGGATTTGGAACTGATTCCTTGCTTGGAATGGAGTGTTAAACAGCCCCTTCAAAGTGCTAGTTCAACTCCTAACCGAAAATGCAAAAACAGTCCCTAGAACGGGTGTTTCCCGACGAATTCGTTCCCTAACCTTTCAAGGTTTTGTCTAGGTTAGTATCTAACCTTTCCAACAATTAAAGTCACATAATAATAACATTTTATACACTTCAATCAGTGTATAATAGTTCTTCAATCATTTATATGATTTAGACAATAGAGAGGAAGGTTTTGGATTCAAACTTACTTTGAATACAAAAACGTATTCTGCGAGGTCGTGTTTTGATCGGTCGATTTGGAGGCCTTACACTACTCCGATTTATGCAAACCAGACCTTCACGGATTCCTCGTCTTGAGAGCTTTCTTTTGGTATATCATACGCCTTATTTGGACGAGTGAAGCTCAAGTTATGGATCAAACAAGTAGCCCTATTTTCTGGAAAACGAGTCCTGCGGCCAGCTTCTCTCTTCACCTCTCCCTTGGAGTATGTGGCTCTCTCTTTCTCTCTTATCTTGGGAGTTCGAATGGGGTGTAGGGGGAGTGTATTAGGAGGCCTCAATCATGCTAAGAGAGCATGTGGTTCACCAAAAAGAAGGGTAGGGTATTTGATTGCAATCAAACATGGTGTGGACCTCCTCTTTTATTTCCTTTTTGTAATGTTGTAGTTCATGAGTCAAAAGTCCGCCCCACATCTTTGTCTCACCCATTTTCCTTTGTTTTGCAGGTACCAAGGTCATGTGGGATGGTTCCCAAATGGTCCCATTCAATTTGGGGTCCAAAATGTCTATCAATACTTCCAAAAAATGGGAAGATGGGTCCTATTGTTTTATCTTTGTCAAAGATGTCTTTTTGTACTCATCCTAATTTATTTAGAACAAGTCAACTTCCTAAATCACATTATTGACCTCCAATATGTGTAGGCTCATCCCAATAATTTACTTGATTGATGTTATAGAAGGAAAATCCTACTCCCATTATTTAGCTCAAAAATGCCAAAGATGGGGTTATAGGCATTTGTATTCTTCTTTAATCCTTCGATCACTTATATAGATAATGTTGGGCTCTTTTATTTATTAATAAGTCCCGAGTAAGTATTTGCGAAACCCGACACTAATGTACGAGTTTGAACAGTACGATATTCAACCATGCACTACGTAGAACATTGATCGTTTTACAAAATGTTTGGGAATCAGAAATCCAATACATAAGCTTTGAATATTCAAATCAAATTTTCAAGGACCTTCGGGAGCGGTGTCACAAGTTCACCCCCCCTTAACAGGAATTTCGTCCCCGAAATTCACAGCTTTACTCAAATAGGAATGCATACTGCTTCCTCATCAAGGCTTCTGTTTCCCAAGTCTCTTCTTCGACCCGGTCACTCTTCCAAAGGACTTTAACCATTGGAACTTCTTTACTCCTCAGTTTCTTCACTTTTCTGTCAATAACTCTTACCGGTTGCACGGCATAGTTCAAATCTTCACGTACCTCCACGGGCGGCTTCTCCAACACATGAGAAGGATCATGCACATACTTCTTAAGCATGGACACGTGAAATACATTATGAATCTTCTCCAACTCAGGAGTCAACTGTAGACGATATGCTACGGCCCCAACCCTCTCTATAATTCTGAATGGGCCTATATATCGTGGGTTAAGCTTTCCTCGGGTTTGGAATCGAATGATTCCTTTCCAAGGAGAAACTTTCAGGAATACCTCGTCGTCAACCTTAAACTCTAAGGTCCTTCGACGCTTATCCGCATAACTCTTTTGCCTATCCTGAGCCGCCTTGAGTCTCTCTCGAATCAACTTCACCTTTGACTTGGTGACCTCAACCAACTCAGTACCCTCGAGTTTGGCCATGCCAACCTCATCCCAGCATAATGGTGTACGGCATCTCCTCCCATACAATGCCTCGTATGGAGGCATGCCGATGCTTGCCTGATAACTGTTGTTATAGGCAAACTCCACAAGTGCTAAGTGGTTGTCCCAACTTCCTTGGAACTCTAATGCGCAAGCCCTCAGCATGTCTTCTAAGATCTGTATGACTCTTTCAGACTGCCCGTCCGTCTGTGGGTGGAAAGCAGTACTGAACTTCAACCTCGTTCCCATAGACTCCTGAAATTTCGGCCAAAAACGTGATGTGAATCGTGGGTCTCTATCGGATACAATGGTCACTGGAACCCCATGTAGCCTCACGATCTCATCCGTGTACAATTTGGCTAACCTCTCGAGTGGGTAAGTAGTGTTGATAGGTAAGAAGTGTGCACTCTTTGTGAGCCTATCTACAACAACCCAAACTGCATCATAGTTCCTGATCGTCCGTGGCAACCCTACCACAAAATCCATAGTCACGTGTTCCCACTTCCATTCAGGAATGGAAAGTGGTTGCAATAAGCCCGCTGGATGCTGATGCTCTGCCTTAACTTGTTGACAAGTAAGGCATCGACTGATATATTCGGCTATTTCTCTCTTCATACCTGACCACCAGTAACTCTCCTTCAGGTCACGGTACATCTTCGTGCCCCCCGGGTGCATGGCATAAGCCGATGAATGAGCTTCCTCTAAGATGGACTTTCGGAGCTCGTCATCTGCCGGTACACACACTCGGTCACGAAATAATAAGAGACCGTCATCTCTTTCTCGGAAGTCCTCCACCGGTCCCGCTTGCATGCGTTCCCGGATCTTCATAATTTCTTCGTCGGTTTCCTGACCCTTCTTGATCTCATCAAGTAAAGTGGGTCTCACCTCAAATCGTGCCAATAAGGCACCATCGCTGGATACCTCCAGTTGGGCTCTTAATGCCCTCAAATTAGCTAGCAATGGCCCAGACGAGCTTTTCCGGCTCAAAGCATCTGCCACCACGTTAGCCTTGCCTGGGTGATACTCTATCACCAGATGGTAGTCTTTTATCAACTCCATCCACCGTCTCTGTCTCATGTTTAGCTCTTTCTGAGTAAACACGTATTTCAAGCTCTTATGATCGGTATATATGTGACATGTCTCTCCGTAGAGATAATGTCTCCAAATCTTCAGTGCAAACACCACCGCTCCCAGCTCCAAATCATGGGTAGGATAATTTACCTCATGCTTCTTCAACTGTCGTGAAGCATAGGCAATTACCCTCCCTTCCTGCATCAGTACACACCCAAACCCTTGGATGCTCGCGTCACTATAGACATCGTACCCCACACCCTGTTTGGGTAATGCAAGTACCGGTGCCTCGGTCAACCGTTTCTTTAGTTCCATGAACCCCTTCTCACATTTGTCATCCCATACAAACTTAGCTCCTTTACGAGTGAGCTTCGTCAATGGTGATGCCAAAACAGAGAACTTCTCCACGAACTTCCTGTAGTAGCCTGCCAATCCAAGGAAACTACGAATTTCCTTAACGTTCTTTGGCCTCTCCCACTCGGTAATGGCTTCTATCTTCTTGTTATCAACAGCAATTCCCGATCCAGAAACCACGTGCCCGAGAAAGCCAATCTCCTTAAGCCAAAATTCACATTTAGAAAATTTGGCATAGAGTTGCTTCTCCCGTAGTGTCTCAAGAACAAGTATCAAGTGCTCCTCATGCTCTTCCTCACTCTTTGAGTAGATCAAGATGTCATCAATGAACACAATCACGAATCGGTCCAAGTATTTGTGAAATACTCGGTTCATTAAGTCCATGAATGCCGCCGGGGCATTTGTTAACCCAAACGACATAACAAGGAACTCAAAATGCCCATATCTCGTGCGGAAAGCACTCTTCGGTATGTCATCCTCCTTAATCTTCAATTGATGGTACCCCGACCTCAAGTCAATCTTTGAAAACACGGTTGCTCCTCGTAGTTGATCAAACAAGTCATCAATCCTAGGCAAGGGATACCTATTCTTGATTGTGACCTTGTTCAGTTGACGATAGTCAATGCACATTCGAAGTGTTCCATCCTTCTTTTTCACAAAAAGGACCGGTGCCCCCCATGGGGAGTGGCTTGGTCTGATGAAACCGTTATCCAAAAGCTCTTGCAATTGGGTTTTTAACTCGTTAAGTTCAGCGGGTGCCATACGGTATGGCGGTATGGAGATTGGTTTGGTACCAGGCTCGACCTCGATCACAAATTCAATCTCCCTATCAGGTGGAAGCCCCGGTAGGTCTTTAGGGAAGACATCCGGGTACTTACAAACCACCCTCACGTCGTCAATGTTCGTTTCCTCCTTGGTTTTGTCAACCACGTATGCTAGATATGCGTGACATCCCTTTCTCATCATACTTCTCGCTCTCACGGCGGAAATAATACAACTGTTTGATTTGCCTCGATCCCCCTCGAAGCGTAGGGTGTCCCCATTATTGCCTTCGAGTTCCAAAACCTTTGTGTAGCAATCTACCCTAGCATGATGCTTTTCTAGCCAATCCATCCCTAGGATTGCATCGAACTCCATCATACTCAGCGGTACGAAATCACACGTCAAGGTTTGGCCATCAATTTCCACCTCACAAGATGGATAATAACTAGTTCTTTCGACATCATCCCCTAGTGGTGTTGATACCACTAATGTGTGCGTCATTGGTGTTGATTGTACCCCTAAGTCCTCGGCGAACGCCTCACTCACGAACGAACGTTGCGCTCCGGTATCGATAAGGATTCGTGCATCCTTCCCATTAATCTTTAATGTTCCTACATTTATACACCATGTAAGATACCTTTTCTAATGGTTTAGGACACTTTTTGGAGGTTAATAGGTTCATATAGATGTTCGGAATCAAACGGGGGTCCAATCGTAGAAGAACGAGAGGAAAAACTTAGGTTTCGGGCGGCTGGGGTCCACGCACGGTCGTGCGTGGGACACGCACGGTCGTGCGTGCGTGAAGAAACGTCGAATCCGACCACTGCCGGTTACGCACGATCGTGCGTACCCGGCCACGCACGATCGTGCGTCCACGCACGGCGTGCGTACCGGCACGCACGGTCGTGCGTCCTGCGCGAAATTCACCTGGAACCACTGTCCCCTACGCACGATCGTGCGTGGGGTTGGACGCACGATCGTGCGTCCCTGTTTTTGGTCAGTTTTGGCCCGAATTTCGCCGTTTGACCCCGAAATGGCTCGCACTCAATCCCTATGACTTATGTCATCAATTTATGGATTAAATATGGACAAAATACAATTGTGCAAGAGGCAATACCTGCAACCGAGTCCGGGTTAGCTCGAGCATCCGCCTCCGTCATCGCATAAACTCTAGCTTGAGTTCTTCCTTGATTCACGGATGGCGCGTTGCTCGTACTCGCTCCCCCATGTCCCCGGCTCGCTTGAGAAGCTCCGGTTTGATTCCGTGTACCCGTCGGACCGCTACTCGGTCCCGATGTCCTTGCCCCACTCAATTGTGGGCAATGTGCCTTCAAATGCCCGACATCCCCGCATTGAAAACATCTAGGGGGGTCGCGACATTTACCGGAGTGGTTCTTCTTGCAATTGTTGCAACGAGCTACCACTGAGGTTTGTGACCTCGCGCCTTGCCCACTCGGGCCTTGGTTCCCCCTATATGGTGGCGGTGGTGCCCGGAAAGATCCTCCTCCGTGGTTCCCCTTTTTGTTGGAACCTTGGGAGCCATGACTCTCCCACTTTCTCTTTTTCGCCTCCTCGGCGTCTCTCTTCTTCCTTTCTTCCCATTGCTTCTCTCCTTTCAACCCTTGGTCAACCACTTGGGCAAACGTCATGTTAGGCAATTGTGTTGCCCTGTCACGTATCTCCAAGTCTAGAGCATCCCAGAAGTGGTTCACCATCCGGTTCTCGTCACAAGCATACTCAGGTATGTAATCGGCAAGATCCCTGAACTTGTACTCAAGTTCCCTCACCGTCATGTTACCCCCTTGGGTTAGAAGGGTGTATTCCCTCACTTTCTTGTTCACCTCAAAATCCGAGTAATATTGGGCAAAGAATTCCTGTCGGAAATTCTCCCAAGTGACGGTCTCGCCATATTTGCCTTTGGTCCCATCCCACCACTTGGATGCCATACCTTCAAGCAATCTCACCGCAACCCTTAGTTTATATTCGGGGGTGAGTTGCATGTCCAGGGCTGCCTCATTCAGCCGCTTAATCCATTGTGCCGAAACGGAGATGTCACCCGTCCCATCGAACGGTTTGCACCCCAAGTCTCGTGCCTCTTTGATGTATTTGGAGATCCTTATGATTGGACCTCCATCACCCCGACCCCCATGTGGTTCAATGTGGGCCCTAGAGTCGCCATGGCTTCTCCCTCTTGAAGCCCCGCCCGAAGGTTGCCCAGCCCGGCGCCTTCGGCGTTCCCTCCTCTCCTCACGCTCACGGTGGTACTGTTGAAGTAGTGCTTCAATCCGTGCTAAGGAGCCATTTTCCTCCTCATCACTTACATCATCATCATCCCCTTCATAAGGGGTCTCAACCGGTTCAGTTTCCGGTCGATAGGTCGAGTCCTCATAGGACCAGTAGGTTTCACTTTCCGTGTCGACATGACCGTCACTCACGGTCTGTGATTGGCCTCCACGGCCAGCTCCTCTAGATGCCCTAGAGGTCCTTCGACTGCCCTGTCCAGTCTCCACTGGTACACGACCCGTCGGGTTTCTCCTAGTAATCCTGCCACCACGGTCCATTTCTGAAAGAAATTTGGAAGGAGTCGTTAGACTCGTATCAAATGTCAATTGACGGATAGGTACTTAAGACACATTTTGGCTCGAGTCACCGCCATACCAATTGCTAAGGGTACCATCTTAACAATTAGAGACCTTGCAACCCAAGTACCAAAAGCTCTCCAAGTACAAAACTTCTATGCTCATGGTTTTCAAAATCTTTTCAAAAAGAGAATTTTGAGACTTCATTATGAAGTTTATGGACTAAGGCTCTGATACCAACTTAATTGTCACGCCCCGGACCTCCCCGGACACGTCAACAACCCGCCGTACAATACGAATAGTCAACCGCAGTCCAACACATTCATATTATACAAGGCGTCATGAATATCATTCACACACAAGTCATCCATAAACAACATAATAAGTAATTCATAAAGCAGCGGAAAACATTGTTTAAAACAAAGGGCCACACAGGGCTATTCATGAGCACGCAAGCTCTATAATAAAATATCCATGAGCATGTTTATTAATGTTTAAAATCCGAATGGAGGAAGCACGAACCAAGTCTTCGCTCCTAGATGATCTCTCGAGCAACGAGCACAGGAAGCAAGCTCTAGCCTCAACCTGAAAAATGGTGGTGGGACGCCCCCGAAGGGGTCAGCACTCTATAGGGCTATAAAGTGCTGGTGTGGCAGGCATCTAATAGATATACAACAAGTATTTCAAACACAAGACCCTCAAATAGGGTGATAGTATATTATGATTGTAACCCTAAGTTACCCCGTTTAAAAATATACTTACTTTATATAAAAGTCAAGTAGCCGGCCCGTGGGCCCATGTTCATTTGGAAATCATCATTCCCAACCCCGTGACTATAAGCCACGACAACTCCTAGAGTCCAACCCTAGTACATGACATTGTATTCTAGAGCTCGGCTCTACCACATCACCATACAATTCATATACCTCGGGTCAATTTCCCTACCTTGCGTTCTAGAGCTCGGCTCTATCACATCACCACGCAAGTCCTAGAGCTCGGCTCTAGCTATACAATACATAGACTCCAAGTCTACACCTTACATGCATTCTAGAGCTCGGCTCTATCACATCACCATGCATTAAGGTCCAATTCTCAAGCAACCCTATGCCTAGAATTGACATATCATTAAACTACCATGGGTCATCCTTAAAGACTCCCCATAACTTAACCTTAGTTCCATACTAAGTTATCATATACACTTGAACTACATTCAAGTACCTTTCATACAATCCAATCCCTAGGATCAATTTAATCAACAAGTTCCAATAATCACTAACTAGTATTCCAATACTATTAAGATTATTGTTATCGTACCATTATCCTCATTGTTTGTAATTCTCTACATATTTATAATTATGTAGCAGCAACTTAAGTATTCAATCTCAATACACAAATATTCATTTATGTATCCACATGATTCATACATGAGCAAAATGCCCATTTTCACAAAATAGTTCATTTATACTCATTTAATCTCATATTATTCATACTTTCTCAAATCATTCCAAATTCATTCTTTGGCAACTATATCAATATTTCATCAATATATAGTCATCATAATCCATGAAAAATCATGATTTAAGCATTTAGGTAATCTCATGCTTAACCTACAAGTTGTAAGCAATTAGATGTCAATCCTCACCTCAATTGAGCTTTAAACTTTCCCTTCTTGGTCCAATGGTCAAAGCTTTGGTCAAGGTGGATTTGGAACTGATTCCTTGCTTGGAATGGAGTGTTAAACAGCCCCTTCAAAGTGCTAGTTCAACTCCTAACCGAAAATGCAAAAACAGTCCCTAGAACGGGTGTTTCCCGACGAATTCGTTCCCTAACCTTTCAAGGTTTTGTCTAGGTTAGTATCTAACCTTTCCAACAATTAAAGTCACATAATAATAACATTTTATACACTTCAATCAGTGTATAATAGTTCTTCAATCATTTATATGATTTAGACAATAGAGAGGAAGGTTTTGGATTCAAACTTACTTTGAATACAAAAACGTATTCTGCGAGGTCGTGTTTTGATCGGTCGATTTGGAGGCCTTACACTACTCCGATTTATGCAAACCAGACCTTCACGGATTCCTCGTCTTGAGAGCTTTCTTTTGGTATATCATACGCCTTATTTGGACGAGTGAAGCTCAAGTTATGGATCAAACAAGTAGCCCTATTTTCTGGAAAACGAGTCCTGCGGCCAGCTTCTCTCTTCACCTCTCCCTTGGAGTATGTGGCTCTCTCTTTCTCTCTTATCTTGGGAGTTCGAATGGGGTGTAGGGGGAGTGTATTAGGAGGCCTCAATCATGCTAAGAGAGCATGTGGTTCACCAAAAAGAAGGGTAGGGTATTTGATTGCAATCAAACATGGTGTGGACCTCCTCTTTTATTTCCTTTTTGTAATGTTGTAGTTCATGAGTCAAAAGTCCGCCCCACATCTTTGTCTCACCCATTTTCCTTTGTTTTGCAGGTACCAAGGTCATGTGGGATGGTTCCCAAATGGTCCCATTCAATTTGGGGTCCAAAATGTCTATCAATACTTCCAAAAAATGGGAAGATGGGTCCTATTGTTTTATCTTTGTCAAAGATGTCTTTTTGTACTCATCCTAATTTATTTAGAACAAGTCAACTTCCTAAATCACATTATTGACCTCCAATATGTGTAGGCTCATCCCAATAATTTACTTGATGGATGTTATAGAAGGAAAATCCTACTCCCATTATTTAGCTCAAAAATGCCAAAGATGGGGTTATAGGCATTTGTATTCTTCTTTAATCCTTCGATCACTTATATAGATAATGTTGGGCTCTTTTATTTATTAATAAGTCCCGAGTAAGTATTTGCGAAACCCGACACTAATGTACGAGTTTGAACAGTACGATATTCAACCATGCACTACGTAGAACATTGATCGTTTTACAAAATGTTTGGGAATCAGAAATCCAATACATAAGCTTTGAATATTCAAATCAAATTTTCAAGGACCTTCGGGAGCGGTGTCACAGTTTCATTCAACCAATCAGCCGAGGGGTGGGGGACGTTGCCCGCTTCACCACTTCTCGAGTCATTGGTAAAATTTCACCAGGTGGTGTACATTCCACAATCGTGGTACATCTGACCCATTAGGGTTCTTTAGTTTGTAAGTGCCGGCTTTGATGACGGCGCTGACGATGTAGGGCCCTTCATATTTGACGGCGAGCTTTCCTCCTTCCGTCGGTTTGCTTGCTTCCCTTCGGCGGAGGACGTAGTCCCCCACTTGGAATTCGCGAGAGCGGACCTTGGCGTCGTAGTAGGATTTGACTTGTCGTCTGTAGTTCTCTGCCCGAAGGTAAGCCATCTCCCGCCTTTCATCAATGAGGTGCAAGTCGATCTTCATGGCTTCTTCATTGGCTTCGGGGTCGTATTGTGTGACCCGTCGGCTGGGGAGGGTGACTTCAGTGGGAGCCTTGGCTTCAAAGCCATAGCACAAGGAAAATGGTGTCTCGCCAGTGGCCCTCCTTGGAGTGGTTCGGTAAGACCATAGGACGTTGGGGAGCTCGTCGACCCAACTTCCGCCCTCTTCCTCGAGTTTCTTCTTCAGCCCCTCCAAGATGGTTCTGTTGGCGTTCTCAACCTGCCCGTTGGCCTGAGGGTAGGCAACGGAGGAGAAACGGTGCTTGATACCCCATTCTTGGAGGAGGCTTTGGAACGGTTCGGCCTCAAACTGGGTGCCGTTGTCTGATATGATCTCCTGCGGCACGCCGAAGCGGGTGAGGATGTTCTTGTAGACGAACTTTCGACACCGCGCTCCGGTGATGCTTGCGAGTGGTTCGGCCTCGACCCATTTGGTGAAGTAGTCGATGGCGACGATGATGTATCTGTTGTTGCCCGGAGCTCTTGGTAGAGGGCCGACGAGGTCAATGCCCCATCTGGAGAATGGGATGGCGGTGCTGACCGGGGCGTAGTTGACGGCTGGTCGGCCAGGTGCCCTTTGATAATGTTGGCATGCGCTGCATTTGCGGGCGACCTCAGCACAATCGCGCGCCATCGTCGGCCAGAAGTAACCTTGGA